TGTTCGGCGAACTTCGCATACATCGCAAAGCTATCATAAAACAAATTTCGCGTTCGTCCGTCTTGGCTACGGTGTCGTGCAAAAACCCCCGTTGAGCATGCTGAAATTATAGCAAGTGTAAACACACGAATCGGATATGGGTCACAATTAAAAAGACCGTGTAAACAGACGGTCCAAAAAATCGGATATAGGCAACAAATCGGAATTAGGCATCAAGACCTGCAGTGTAAACGGGGCCTAAGAGGGATAGAAAGGAATTTTCCACAAGTCCTACAATCCTTAATTAGTTCTTTCTACTCATATACCTCTGTTCCATGGTTAATTTCTTTGGCCACGCCCATTAATTACACTATTGGTCTATTCAATTACCTTATAATATTTTGTAAAATGACTAACACTAGAATACACAGCAGGGCGACCGAGGTCTCTGACTTAACCAACACACCGCTCGCCGCGGTCTGCCCTCCCATCCCCCCCCCCCGTGTCCGTGTGATCAGCCCCACTGTGGCAAAACAGAAATCGCACACACTGGGAGAAGTTTCCTACAGTCCAGTTTAATGTGAGTAACACATTCACATTAGGTCTTCCTATCGGTTTACAGAGAAACCGGATTGCGCAGTTCCGTGTGGCAGGGAGTTGCCGGTTTGCCCAAAGTACAAAGGCTTTCTGATGAATACCAGCTAGCCAATACAGCCATTACAAAACAGAACAGCAAACAAAAGGGTTTGTTTTCCTCAGCGGGAACGGAACTGGAGCAGAACGCTAAACGGGCTCTGTACTTCTCGGAGCTCGGTGCACAGATTTGGGTCACTCTGCCCTGAATGCACTCTGGAGCTGTGGCCCCCCCCAAACTCGAAGTGAATATGGGGCGCGGCCACCCTCCCAAAGCACATCCCATAAACCTGGAGCCCCATCAGGTCCTGCCAGGAGATAGGAGCCCATCTGGTGCGTCATCCAGAATCCTTAGCATGCTTTAAGACGGCGCCAACACACGCAGTAAAAACTCCCGTGTGCTGGCAGTCCCGTCCTGAAAACCCCCACCCGTTATCTGTGAGCCTCAAAACTCCTCGATGACCCGGAAGTGGTTGTCGATGGAGGCGGGCTCATCATGGAAGTGCAGTGTGCTGGTGACGCGAGCCTTCAGCTCCTTCAGTGTCTCCACGAACTGCCGGTGCTCGTGGCCCACCCAGGCTCGCATGGGGTCCTGCACCTCGTAGGGTGTGACGTGGGCGTGCAGTGCCACCCCCCTGGCCGCCAGCACCTCCAGCGCCCGCCGCTCCGTTACCCAGGTGCCACTGCCGCCTGGGTGCCCCCCATCGAGCCAGTAGAGCTCCGAGACCTGCTGAAGAAAGGTGGCCAGCTCCGGGTCGGACCCGGCCGCTTCCAGCTCATGCACGATTTGGTTCAGAACCACACATCCCTTGCTGAAGCCCACCAGGATCAGGGACAGTCCTGGGGGTGGGAAGGCATCGGTCGGGGACAGGAGTCCGGCCCGCAGAAGACCATGCCTCAGCAGCGCCCTCAAGTGGCAGATGGCGCCATAGTGAGGGGAATGTTCCGGGGTGCCAAACATGTTGCTCTCCACAAAGTTGCAGTAACTGCTGAACTTGTGCAGGTACATACAAGCCGCCCGCACCACCCAGATGTAGTGACCGGGGAATCGCTGTGCCAGGATCAGTGCTACACGCTCAAAGCTCCAGCGCTGCCACTGGGCCCCTTCCGCCTGGCGGGCCATCTCCTGCTCAAAGTTCTGGATACGGGGAGGTAGGGGACATTGGGGGCAGAGACACAGGGGCAGGGACATGGTGACACATGAAAGGGGAATGACATGTAGTGACTTAAGCTATTTTTTTAAATCACCGTTGTAAAATGTCAAATCTTACTGCCAGGTTTATATTTACTAACTTTACAGACTAACGTTTTAACAAATCATGCAATCTAGTGGTATTAAACCACAGACACAAATTCTTTGACTTTTTTTTTTTTTACAAAAAAATGTAGCCAAGATTCCAAGGCCCAGAAGTCACATGATATACACGTGTCTTTACGTAATCAAGTTTAGTTACGCGTCTTCCTTACTCTTCGAAGAGTACATCTTCGTACATCTAACCGAGTTTTATATATAACTAGCCATCCTTTGTACTTGTAAGACTCACATTTTGCACTGCGATGTGAAATGAGCCCCCCAGATGCTGCATTAATTTCCCTCTCACCTGTATGTCCCCGGGGAAAAAAACGACATGGCGACTTTGGTCCTCGGAGGATCGCTGATCTTGGGCGCAGGCAGGCCGGAGCATCAGCAGATCATTCGTCCGGCGAGGCTGACTCCCCGGGACCGCTGCCAGCCTGAGCAAATGGGGCGCTACGGCAACGCCCAGCCCAGCACCCCCGAAAGATCCAGCTGTGGCAGTCATAGTCCGAACCGTGACCATCAGAGACACGCCGGCAGTAAGGAGCCAGATATCTGACATGGGCTGGAAGATTTACAGCTATATTAGCCGGAGGAGTGCATTCTAAGTAAGTGCCCGCACTGAAATGTCTGCGCACTACGGAGTGTCGGACAAGTACGCAACACCGCGTCTAGCGTCACATCGCACAGAAATGCACGGCAGTACTGCCAGAAACAACAAATTTGCATGTATCATCTGCAATGCCGAAACGAACTCAACAGCAGGCGCCTGCATTCATTTCACATGAACAATATAAAACACGGATTATTTCGTACTTTACCGAGGAGCGATGACGCGTCTGGCTTTAGAGGCCGTGTATGCGCATGCGCATCTCGGACGTAAATTCGAGCGTTTTCGAGACGCAGTGGTGCAGACGATGGCAGTGAAACTATTTATCAGACTTCCACTAGAAGATAAATAACATTTCGATTGATGCTTAAGAACAGTACGGGGTTGCAAAGCAGAAAAAATGTTTTATCTTTGGACTTTGTTCAGTTTCGCAAAATTATACTTAGATTTTATTTATTAGTTTTGATATGTTGTATTTGGCTAGAAATGAAAGGCGGACTATATATGTCTTATGCATGCATTTACAACCATGGAAATAAATTCATGTCCTCTCTGTAGTATGAGAGGAGGTACGCTCATGTCTGCGCAAGCTCACTGGTAATTACGCTTAGTCTTGCAGAATAAGATTTAGGGGTTCTGGGATATGATTTTTTTTTCCATTTTTGATTTAGAGGAACTGTCTTTTCGGTTAGGTCTTAGTAGTAAATCAGGCCAAATATCTTATACTCTAATAAAGTTTTTTTTTCTTTTTTAACCACAACAGGTGGTTCAAAGGACTTTGGACCTATCACACAATCGTTGCAGTTCCGGATGATAATCATTGTGGACAAATTCCCGGAATTTTTCATGTTAACTTTTGGTAAAAAATGCGAAATTTCAGAGATTACCAAACTGTGGCGAAATACATTACCCAGAACACTTTCTTCTCCTGACTTCTGTCCTTCATTTAATACAAACAATTTTTTAAAAAAACTTATGTTAGTTACTTTTTATTATTCTGTGGACTAAGGGGCTAAGTGCAGTGACACTGGGAGGATGATATTGTCCATACTGTCGCCAGAACCGAGGCATCTAACTGACAGGACGCGTTTCAGCACCTGGACTCCCCGCTGTTCAGAGTGATGTCACTCGGCGCTGTCGCACGTCGCATGGTCACCTGCCTGCTCAACATCTCCGAGGCACGGAATAGGGACATAGTGGACAAGGTAGCGAGAGCAGCCGTTTTAAATAAGCACGGTGAGTTCATAGCCATGGAAGATTGTGACCTAAAGATGAAGATTTATTTGATGTTAAATTGCATTTTTAAATTCTGAATTCAGCTCTTTCTCATGTGATTGTGGTGATGTATAACCCTGTCTTCTTCTCAGGAGGGTGGCGGGAGGGGTCCACGGTTCTCAATATTTTTAACGACCACGACTACAACCGTTCCGTGATCACCATTGTGGCGAGCATTGATGACATCGGTGAGTCACACGATGCCGCTGTCTTAATGCGGTCTTTGAGACCCCGCGCCTCAGATCAGACCTGCTCATGCCCTGTGTCCTCCATCCCAGGGGACGCGGTGTTGTCAGCGTGTGAGCAGGCCCTGGATATGATCGATATGACGGGCCATGTTGGGGCTCACCCATGCATGGGTGCCGTTGACCTGGTGCCTCTCTATCCCCTGGGGGAGGATGTGGGGCTTGAGGAATGTGGCAGGGAGGCCAGAGGTGCGTGACAAGCGGAGCCGCCCAGGGTTATGTGATTTAGCCTGTGGATGTCTGTAGGGATGTGTACAGTTTCTCTCGCCTGTGAACAGAGCTGGCCAGCAGGCTCACGCAGCGCGTTCCTGGCACCTCCGCCATCTACTTTGGCGCGGCGGACTATCCCTCGCACCGCGGCCTTGCTCAGCGCCGGAAGGAGGTGGGCTGGTTCCGGAAAAACCACGATCTGTCCCGTGTCCGGCCAGATGTGGGCAGAACACCCGAAAGCAGATATGGTTTGACAGGTCAGGAAAGGCACATGTTCTGAGGGTGTGATGTTACATTAGTTACTTTTATTATTATTCAGTCTGTCTTCTACCGTTTTGATTTTTGAATCTTGATCAGAGGTATCTATGCTGATAAGCATCCAACTACAGCAGTTGAGGGGGGCTTCAAGGGAATGACTAGTTTGCCACAAAACAAAGTGTTTGATTTTGCACATCTCTGTACTAGATCGCCTCGTACCTCTAGGCAAACATAGAAAGTGGGAACTGCCCTAGACTGAAACTTGCTCTCAGACCCGCTCTGTCCAACAGGTGTGGGGGCCAGCCCGTATGTCATGAACTGTAACGTCACCCTCAGCACACAGGACCTCAGCGTGGGACGCCGGGTGGCCGCTTCCCTGCGCGAGTCCAGCCCGGGTGGGATTCCGGGGGTGCAGGTGCTTGCCCTGCCACATGAGGGCGCACTGGAGATCGCCTGCAATGTGGAGAGCGTACCATGGGCCTCGCCTGCAGACCACTGGCCCACCTTTAGTATAAGGGGTCAGCAATTCTGCCACGCCCCAGCGTCCCTGATCTCCACACGTGTAGAGCAGCTGGCAGGGCAATACGGTGTAGTCACCAAGGGAACGGTGCTTGTGGGGTTTACACCCCAGGAATGCAAGGGCCTTGCAGTGCAGGCTATCGCTCAGGGTATCGGTGAATACTGGAAACACCAACGTGCCATATTTATGTAATGTCCTTTCACCAACACAATGCAGGAGATCTGACCAGCAGGCACCTGGGACACCCCACCTCTGACAGCTTTTGACCCAGCCAAATGCAGGTCCATGTTTCAGGCTCCTCCACCTGAACTGCCCTAAATTAGCACGTCGTCCTGGGCTAATTCTGGACATTGGTTAGACTGTACGGAAAGCTGGACAGGGCTATGAGCCCCGCTTCAATAAAGAAGTGCGACCCCTTTTATCAGGCTTATCAGACAAAAATTGAGGTCAGATCTCTTCATGAACCCAGTTGACATTCTTTCCGTGACTCAACCATCCAACTTCTTACACGGCACCCAAAAGTAGTCTGAAATTCACTTATCCCTTTACACAGTAAGAGGGTTACAGAAGTATCCAGCTAACAGCAGCCACCACCTATCTGATCGCAAATCATCCCCTTCGCCGTCAGCACAGGCACCCAACACAAGTCATGAAAATAAGGGGTTTTATTCATTTTATTGTCATGTCAAACAAATTAAATTAGCCTACCTGTAGATATCAAACTACCACCTTTCACACGGTCACTTATGGTACATTTTGGTCAAGAAAGGAACCGAAGGTAATCGTAAGCAGCAGGGCTGGAAGGCGGAACCCAACACAACGCACAGACTGGCATTCGAATAAAGCAGACCGGCATTCCTGAAGTTACAGCAATGACTGACGCTTCTTATAAATTACGAAGAAAGTGCATCAAGTGTTCAAGTAGAGCGTATGGTTTTAATACACGACGGGTTCAGGCCTGGGGTTAGGGGATGGTAGTTAAACACTGGCACTAGGTGTAAGGGCAAAAGTGGGAGGGTGAAAGGAAAAAAAAAAAAACAAAAAAACTGTGCGTTCCCAGGGAAGGTGTGGTCAGGGGACTGGTTTTTGTGTGTCATCTCTTGGAAGCACGTCGAGGATCCCGACCGTTGCTGATTGAGACGGAGGGTTTGGACCCCATAGGGGTTCCCCCTACAGGCACTTGGGGGGCACCATTCCCTGGAAGACGGCCATTGGCCCGTCCCAGCCCCCCCAAGGCAGGGTCCCGGGGAGCAGGAGAGGAACTGTTAGTGGAGTAGGTCTGCAAAGAACCATTACCTGGAGTAAAAGTCAGAAACGGTACTTAGAGCAATCAGAAAGGAAGCCTCGAGGCACAACAAGAGCTGGAAAATGTCATGCTGCCACTCCTTTCAAACGGAATGTTCCATCATGTCCTTGATGATAAGACCTTTATTAAGTATCTTCAAAAAAGTACCCTAGCGGCCTATTGCCACTTACCTGTCTGTGCAGCGATACCTGAATTCTGATTGTTTGGACAGTCACCCCGTTGTTCTGCTTTCCCCTGCGGGGCAACAGACTACCATTAGGGCCAACACATAGGAATGGAAATGCATGAAACACACCCATTATTATAAACACGTCGGGCACAAAGAACCATATTTGAAGCATGACTTGAGCTGAAAACTTGATCAATCCTTCAGACCATTAGCATTTAGATAATGTCAGGGTTTGAAGCGCAGAAGGAAAAAACGACAAAGGTATAAATCCCTGCCCCTCAGCCAGCATAATCCGTGGAGACGCTGGGGAAGGTGAGGACCAAACTCACGGTCTTGTTCTGCAAGTTGGCCTGGGCAAGCAGTTCTGGGTTTGGCTCACTGAAGTTTGGGACTTCTGAGTAGACCATGCAGAACCTGCACCACATAGGCAAGAACAGCAGCTCAGTGAGCGACACCAGCATTTGTGTACAGAAGAGACCGATTTGCAGAAGTGGCACAGAGCATTAGACACGGAACTGCATGCTCAAACATAACTGCGCATTTGTGCAAGACTGAAAGCGGAGCTTAATGGAAACTATGAGGCTTTCAACCCTTCCAAAATGAGTATACCTACTCTCCAATCTTCTGTAGGTCCCCTCCTCTTCCAGTGTAAAGTGTCAAACAGCCCTTCCAGATAGAGGCATACCTGGAAACAGGCGGGAAGATGAGTAAGCCACAAGTCAACAGTGACACTGCCTTAGCCTAGGTGTGGTCACCTTATTGGGCAGGTCTATTACACCTAATGATGCCACCCTAGTGAATCAGGGACATGAGGAACTGCCAGATGGCATCAATCACTGGGTGGGCGTGTATGGTGGGTAGCGTACCCCCGTGTTAGGCGGATGATGTCACCGGGCTGGATGAGGCTGCCCAGCTCATCCCAAACAGAGATAGTGATGCTGCCAGTTTTGTCAGCTACCTTGCACGACCGCACCTCATGGCCATCCTTAGTCTTGGTCACCCGACCTATTTGAGTAAGAGAAAGACCAGGTTTTTCACCCCCGAACTGCAGGCTTCAAAATGATCAGATCTTTCACTTTACTCAGAATCCACTAATAATGAAACGCTTAAATAAAAAAAAATCTAAGCTTAAAAATGTAATTATGTCAGACCAAAAAAACCTTGAAGAGTAATACAAATTTCTATAAACTTGCTTAAAACTGCATACCCTTCCCTACATTTAGACATTCACATAACTGCAATAGTTTTTGACCACTACACAGACCACATGGTGGAAATGAAGAGAACTACACTACCCACTGACAATACGGCCGAAATACATATGCATGGACATCGTTACGAATATGTCGTTAACCCTGCGTCATCACTACGAGCGTTTGTGAAAAGCGGCTCTGGCCCTTTAAGAAAACAGGGAGGAAAAAACGTGTACAAATGTATGAGGGATACAGAGGCGAGTCACTTACCTATTTCCAAAACAATAAAGATGATATTTAAATTTTTCAGTCCGGGTTTTACATCTTTTATCAAGAATACTGCGTCGTTTTGGATGTTCGACATTTTAAGAGAGTGGGGAATGTATGTATTTAACTATATAGTGCTATATATTAGATCACTGAGCAGCATTGGTGTGTGAGACGTGGAGCAGGGGGTGAAAAACGCAGCCCTGTCCACTTTGGCAAGTTTTGATGGGTTATTTGTCAAAAGAAAGACCCAAATTAACTCGGGGAAAGGATCGCTCTCTCTGCTGGCTAAATCTGTAGCTACACTTTCGTTTTTAAATAGACACCAAGCTTGCTTGCGATCACGTTACAGACCGACTTCCCTCTAGACAGGAATTTTCTCCAAAATCCCCCTGGCAAACCCTAAAACACCCAACACCCTCCCTTACAGGATGAGGCCACATCCATGTTCGCCATCGAGAGTCTAATCATATAAAAATTAAGAAAAGGAGCTGGCTCGGTGCAAAAGAGGTTTCCGTCCTTTCATCCAGAGCGCATCGCCTAAGACTATGTCGTGAGTAAGATTTGCTTAAAAAAAAAAAACAACGAAAGAAAAATCTGCCTGAACCGGAGAGCTTCAGTCACAAAGAACTTATAACTGACAGTCAAGATCTTGGATTAACGCATTTACAGCCACAAGACCGAATTTACTTTACACCAAAAGCCCTAAAACGTCAGACTGATTCCCTCCCCGGTGCGTCTTTGTGACCGGGTCAACTTTTTCCTCTCTCCCTTTTTGTTTGCTAGCAGAATTCAGCCCGGCGTTAACCGGCAGCTTGCTATAATAGTTAAATGTCCTTTTTAAGCAGCGCTTAAAAACGTAACTTTTAGATTTAGGCTATATTCAAAAGCACTGCAACCGCACTGCCAACTTCAGATCTAATTTTTTTCTTTCCGCCTTCGACACAATTTAACACGGTATGACCGGCAACACTAAAATCATCCCTACTCTTTAAACAATACCCCCAGACTGCGCCAGCGTGTCCCACTAGTCTTATAAACGCAGAGGACTGTCCCATTCGGCAAACCGGCCGAAGGGGGGAACGGGAGGTTGCTTTCGTTCCGTTTCCCAACATATCACGTCCTTATCTTTTTGTTCACTAATGTCTGACGTCATTGCCGCCACATTCAAGGAAAGTTTAAATACTCAGCTGCCACAAATCGTAAAAAAGATAACAAAATAGCAAATAGGAAATTAACACACGAACACTAAATCTCCCACATTGAGCTGCAAACTGGTACGTGCCGTGTGCTCTCTCGCAACAATGGCTTCAAAACCGCACGATCCTATTGGGTGCCGAAGAGAATAAGTTAACATGTATCTGCGATGTGTAACCTAACATTGCTGCGTGTTGGATTTAGGAGAATGTTACAAGTACAAACAGAGCTATCGTATCTAACGCTTCTTGTAACATACAAGAAGAATGGCTATATTTGGTATAGTATCATCGATCCACACTCAGATTGCAGATCTGATGTGTTGATTTTTGGGCTCACTCTCCCTCCCCTTCAGAGATTGAGCCGACGCAAAAACTTAATTTAGACGAGCAATGGGTGGTCATTTCTAGGCGTTCGTTTCTATTTGACAGTAGTAAATGAAGATTTGAAAATTTATTCAACCATAATATATGTTATATTTTATGAGCTATCCACTTAAGTTCGTGCTGGGGAGATTCAGAAATGTAATAATCAATCAGGTATTTATTACTTAACACGCTGTTTTGTCGACATTAACCCAGATCATTTCGTTAAAATGATTTTATTAGTACAAATTCTTAATATATACGGCACGTAACAGGCTTTTCAAATGTAACACTGTTATACTGTTACGTATAGCCTAGTGATATTGTATTGTTCAATAACACATACTTGTTAAAATTTAAAGTTTAAATTAGATAATATAAATATTATTGCAGAGTTTGCAAACGTTGGTTTAACGACGTACGTATATATATATTTTTTTTAAATGTAAGAAGCAAAATATATCAGCCCGTCACGAACAGGATTCGAACCTGTGCGGGGAAACCCCATTGGATTTCGAGTCCAACGCCTTAACCTCTCGGCCACCGTGACTTGGTACATACAATGCTTTATAAAGTTGCTGTCATTCCTCCCATACTGTATTTATAACAAAAATTAGATACAGTAAATTTTACAATATTTAACCGCCTGTTTCGCTTGAAAAAATATTATTTTGGAAGAATATTGCAAGAGAACCGAGATTTAATCAGCGGATCACTAACTAATCTTTTAAACTTGCTATAAAAATAAAGAAAGATTCTACAGAAAAAAGAATCAAGAAATCGCATAATAAAAAAAAGTGGTCTTCTCTGGGTGCCTTCTGATGAAGAGCGGAGTGCCACCATAAAGTGACACGTGATCCTCCGGCGACAGCATGTAGGCCTAGTCCGCAAAATGACACCCTACAAGAACAATATCTGCAGAGTTTCAAAATACTTGAAAATTAGACGTCAAGTTTATATTGTAGTTATTTCATAGATGATAAAACGCGCACAGATCCTTCTGTTTCTCATTTTATGAAAAAACAAAGCGCAGTACACCTTAATACTATTTCATAAAATGTTTTTAGTTTTAACAGTTTGTTTTCTTAACTAGTTTCCTATAAATCACCAAATACAGTTCCGTTTGCGATACATAGATATTTCAGTCATATGTTCTTGTCTTCCGGCGACGTGTTACTTATTTTAAACTTTAAAAGTAATTCAAAAAGGTTACACAATACATTTAATTTAAACTGGCAATATTGGTTTACATATCTACACAGTTATATCAGCCTCATATTTTTGGTTGATATTGGTGGTAATGCGATAACGTTTATTTAAAAATACAAATGCATATGATAGATACTGTAGGCTAAGTGTTGGCTGTTGGAATTATTTTCAAATGCATGCAATAACATCGATATTAAAATATCATTCAAGATATATCACAGCATTGGCAGAACGAAAATAATGGATTTGTAAAACCAAACGCTATGTAACTATAATGAACAGGATGTCAACGCTCGGAAATATTATTTTGTGCAATTATCATTTACGTTTGGACGTCTACTGACATCTAGTGGAGTTATATTCGAAGTACAATAACAGATATGTTGAAACCAGACAATATGAAGTTCTAGGCTAAATGAAACGCAGTTAAAGCAGAAATGTCTGGGGGCTAATATTAATATATATATATATATATATAAAATCCAAACAGCGTATATATCATTGAACTTCACGTTGTGGTGCAGTTTCTGACAGTCCTTAAGCCAGATGTTTAGTGATTTAAAGCATGTTTTATATGGGTATACTTTTCCCAAATACATTTCACACACTAGCTGTTAATACTACAAGGCAGATTGTTGCAAGATTAGGGTTTGTAGGATTGTAGTGACTCCCCTGTGGTAAATCAGACAGAACAACGGCAGGCAGAAGGAACATAAGGAATTGCATGGGGAATTTAACCTTGTATTTTGCACAAATTTATCAGTATTTTTAATAAAATTATTGTGGTGATTTCTGACAATCAGTAATTTAGCAACCATGCTTTTTTCAAGATATCTCTGAAATATTGTACATGACCCAAGTAAAATGTATAGTTGTTTTAGTTGCAGTTACATGACAATGAAGGCTTTCTGTGATATTGCCTATTTAGCCGTCATCGCATTTTACTCAAGCTAGCTGTGCAGGGTGGGTATTATTTTGATCACTTTGATTTGGAACAAACAAAAAAAATGCTATGAGGATGCAATAAATAATAATGTAATTACAGGTAATAGTTCAACAGAGGGCACTACCCACTCTCTTAGATGACAGGAGTCACTAAAATGTTATGATTTTGGCCCCAGAGAATGGGGGTCATTTGGAGACAATGGCGTTCTTAGCTTCATGTGACCATGCAACATACTGAGTTATTCTCATTGTTTTTAAAGATGCAGCTGTTTAACAAAGTGACATTAAAGTTATTTATGGAGAGTGATTACAGATGGAGGTCTATCAGATAGCTTAAAGAAGCATCGTGTTTTACAACCAACAGTCAGCTTGTGCTGCATGTGAGATATGTGAGATTAATTTGACTGACTTTATTCTAAAACAGGATGACCCCTGTTCAGCAGCCGATGTTCTGAGAGAGACCGAACTGTACATGCCGGATGCAAGGTGATAAGCGTGCGATATCTACAGCTATCTGAATGGTACTTCGGAGCTTCAAATTCAAACAGTACCTCCGAAATATAACACGTGAAAATGAACCTTAAATGTGTTTCTCATCACCCTTGACAGAAGAGCCTGTCTTGGATCGCTTTCCCCATAGTCTGAAAAAGATCAGAAGTGGCAGATTATCAGTGTGACACTTTATTTCACAAGTATCTGTGCATGCTAAAATGAGACGTTCGTTGTTTTATAGCTTTTATGAGTGCTAATGTTGTTCTTCGTGGTTTTTCTGTGAGAGGCACACTGGAACGCCAAGGTTACAATCGCAACGTGACCTTGTCACACTTTGTTAGCTGAGTAAAAAGACTGACAGTGGATTCTGTTGTATTGTTTGCGTAGGAAATGTACACGGCCAACCTCCTGCTCGAAGTTCGTTATGTCGCTTCGCCAAATACATTCTGCGTGTAATATTTCTGGGTTTTGGCAGAGTTTCTTTGCTAGGGGGCGGCATGTGGTTCAGCGGTCTAAGTCTCCATGCCTGTGATCAGAAGGCCGCCGGTTTGAGCTCAGGCCCTGGCAGAATAGTTTCATTGCCGCGGGCCCTTGAGCAAGGCCCTTAAGCCCCAGCTCCCTCAGTGGTACAAGGTGGCTGCCCCTTTACTGTGACCCCCCCCCCAAGCTTGTGCTCACCAGTATGGAGAGCAAGATGGGGCAAAATGAGAAAATTTCCCCAGAGGGATTAATAAAGTGCGTCTAATTTATTTGCGATTTTTATTGCATTTAGGACCTGCCCCAATAGTGCCCTCTTCTGGTCAGGAATAAGCACTGTGAGACAGGAAGAGGAAACAATAGATACCAGAGCAAACTGAATCCCATTAACCACCCATGAGCCAGAGCTGATCTGAGCGATGGCATTGTTTGGAGGCCAGGCTGGTGCTGAATGTGACTGTTTGCTTTCTGGGTGTGCGCTAGCTAATCCGGCTCGCCTCGTGCATGTTTCAGCTCCAGTGGCTCTACTCAACTCCATTTTCTATAAGTAACATTTCTACATTTAAACGTAATGAAAACTGTAACTCAAGTACTTTTTAATTTGTTGTGTTTCCTACCTATTTGACCTTCTCTCACATCTTCAGGAGGGTAGCGTGGCCGGCGCAGGCTTGTGGTTTAACATGTGGTCAAGAGAAAAGTTGATTGTTGTTTTCCTACTTGTCATCCTATTCTCACGAGCACAGATATAATGCTGCGCTCCATTTGAACTCGTAACTCGGAAATTCCAAATTCCAAGTCGGAAATTTTAGCTGGAATGCCCCCTGAAGTCAGAATTCTGACTTGTGAACTCAGAGGAACATACACAATCCCAACCTCAGAATTCAAGATGGCTGCGCCCTTTGTTAAAGATGTTAAAATTAAAGCTTTTGTTATATACAGTTTATTAGCGCTTATGTCTAATTTGTGGCACACTGTTCTGTACTGTCCAACCGCTATATGTGGCTGTGTTGCTACTGTGTACTTATGTGCAAAATGCAGCGTAATGTGTTGTTATCAACTGATATTGCTAACAATGAACCGGATTAGAACTGGGGCTTGTTTCAGAAAGCTGGATCTGCTGAGCCAGATAACCTGTCAGATTTAAGGTAGTCTATTCCAAATATAAGTAAACGAAGGTAAAGGCCATTTAAACTGGGGTAAATTAAATCTGACAAGGTATCCAGCTTTCTGAAACTGGGCCCTGGTATTGCTAAATGACTTTCCGACTTGCTGTACTGGAATGCGGTTAACTCGGGTGTGATGTCATTCCCAGTTCTGACCTCTGACCTAAATGGAACACGCCATAAGCATCCCTGAATCTTGGTCCTTGGTTCTTTATTGGTGTATCTCATGAACTAGGGTGGCGGCAGAGCACACACCGACTGAATACCAGTACTAAAATTAATCTGCAAAGGAAATAAAAAACAGTCACTGGACCGAACTGGAAGATGAAACATTGTGCTACAGATTTTTCATTGTTGACTTTTCCTAGGAGTCCAGTCTGATGCTTTCTTAGCAATTGACTCTTATAAATGTGACTAGTGATTCATGTCTAAGTCAATATTTGTTTTGGCCTTCGTGTTTCAGATATGGCCCCTCATTTTCGTCACCAATTTGGCAATACTTACCTGAGGTTTTCTAACACCTCAGAGTGTCCAGCATGAGTAAATTATTATCCTGATTTAATCTTAAGCTTGATATTACGCAGAGTATCTCCCATTTTCAGTTCCACTTCCAATACGTGTAGCGTCTGATTTGATTATTGCATCTGGTGTTTTGCATTTCTTTTGTTTATGGGGTGATGCTATTTTACTGTGAGCTGTATCAGTAAACATTTTCTGTAGGTCATCAAGGCCTTTCGAAATGAGTAAAAACGGTCATTATCAGTCTTCTGAGTGGTGTTAATGGCCCTGCTTGTTTTCAAGAGTGGCAGTGGAATTTTGAAATGATCCTGCTAATGTGAAAGTAGAGTTGTACCCCAGTATGTAGCCCAGCCATGTGTCGTATGGGTGGCTTTGCCCTGTGGCCTCAATACAGACCTCATTTTCCTCCCTGATGACACTGTTGGGCTACTGATGGAGAAAATGAGTTTTGAAGTGTCATTTTCTGTGGAGCATAGCAATAATCACGACACTGGAGATTGTGTAATGAATTATTTATGCTGCTTTGAGATGACAAGAGGCATACAGGAAGATGGCGTGGCACATCACAAAACAAGATTATATGCTGTCGAGCATTCAGAGAAGAGTTATGCCATTTCTGATAAAATATCGTCATACAAGAATAAATTGGTGTCAGGCTTAGTTAGCATCTGGCAATAAGGTAACATCTCAGATCTCAGTGACAGCATTTAGAAAGTAGAAAAAATGAATTCTGGAGAGACTTTCAATAAAATTTCATCCAAATTCCACATTTCATTTAACCCTATACCAAAGACACAAAAATAACTTGTATTTCAAAGAATCCCTCTATGATAGTCAGTAGTTAAAAATAATTCAATATTTCAATTTTTAAAAAAGGACAAATGATTTTATCACCATTCATTGTAATACACTGCTGAATATCCAGTCTCCTGCCAGTAAAAAAGTATTGCATGATATTTATTACCTGGGGAAATGTGTACTGAATTCTTAAATGACCGTGCAGAATTAAGGTGTTTCTGGAAGTGAACGACGTGAGAACGGCTATGAATTCAAAGGATTTGGCAACTGAAAATAAAAGACGAACAACACAAACAAACAGCCGCTGAGACTTAGCAGGAACCAGTACACCCAGTTTGAAGCAGGCTATACGGAAGGCTTTGCTGTAGGTTGGATGGGGTGTGTCTGTAGGTAAGTGTGTGTGACTGGGTCTGTGTGTGTTAGGTGTCATCCCTGGGGCACAGGACACAATTGACTTGTTTGAAAACTGGAGAATTAATCTCAAAGTGTCAATTACAAAGTAGCTACATCTACGTCAAAAGAAAGACTTTCTTTCCCCTGGTGTCTGTTGGCAGCTGTCTGTCAGGATATGTCCACGTGTCATGAGAATTGCCTCTGAATTTATGGTAGTTCTGCCACACACGTTCAACAACCAGCTAGGAACCAAAAATTCCTGCCAATACAAAAATTCCACTGAATTTTCAGGTCATGGATTTTGCTTTCTGTTGTACTTTCTGCACTCAGCCAGTGATTTAGTAGGTAACCCAGACCTTGCTAGATAATGGCTCGATAATGGCTGTGTTGTTTCTCAAGGGAGCTGCGAGTGTGGGATTTGGAAGTGGTGCACAACTTTACTACGCTGTTCATGCTTTGCTATGTTTGATGCGGAGGCTGTCTAACCAGTTTGCCTGCCGCCATTCAGAGACGCAGAATATGCAAACAAGCACAAGTCACAGCTTGAGTTATATAGCCCGTGTCTTCGAATTCCAGCTAGTAAACTGTTCAGTAGAAAGTAAAGATGGAGACAATCGGGATTGATTACAGTGACACCTATAGCATAGTATTTGCAAATCAGGCATTTTAGGCCTTGCTTCAGGGTCCTACTCCTCTCTTACTGTTTTCGATGGCAGACGAGCAAGCAGATCATGCAGTAAATAACCGCTGTAAGGAGGCAGTGGCATGGGTTATGGGATGGCACGGCTGGGGTAAGAGGTCTTGATGGGAATCAGCAGAAGGTGCAGCTTGTTTTCCCCTCATCCCAGCAGGCGGCGAGGGCCGAAGCATGGAGCTCCACGTGCGAATCGCTCTCTGGCCGTGCCAGAATCCCGGGTTCGCTGCCAGTTGACTGAGGAACGGTAGCGAGCGGCGCCAGGGCAGCCCAGGGAATCTGGTAGAGCATCAAAGCTCGGAGGTGTGCAGAGATGCTTCTGGTATGTAGGTGAAAAATGGAGCAGTGGGAATACCGTGGCGTGTGTGTGTGCGTGTGTGTACGTGTGTGTGCGTGTGTGTGTGTATGACAGAGAGAGAGAGAGAGAGAGAGTGAGAGAGAGTTGGGGAGGGGGGGGTTGGCGATGGAGCACGAGGCTTTGGAAAGGGGGCAAAGTCACCTTGGATCCATCCTGGGGTGTACAAGGGAAGGGCGGCTGCCTAGATATTTGGCAGGAGGAGAGGGCAGGGTTACCCTGGGACGGTTACTCCACAGCCACAGGTGCGGCTTGGATCATTGCCTCCACCTCAATCTTCTTTGTCTCAGTGGGCATCTCCTCTTGCTTCTCCTCACCTTCTTCTTCATTTTCAGCCTGGTCTGGCTGCTGCAGGGTGGCAGGCAGGTCTGGGTGGGCATCTCCATTTTCTAAGACAGGCAGCTCGCTCTCTGGGCTGCAGGCAGACGGGACGGTCAGCTCTGGGTCCTCCTGGGATGAGCAGGCCCCTTGGGCTCCTTCCAACGCGGGATTCAGCTCTGTGTGCACCTCGCTGAAGGTCTGTTCGGTTTCTGGGCTGCTGACGGGCTCTGTGGTGAACTCTGCCGTTTGCATGGTTTTGGGCGAGGCCTCTCCATCCCGGACCTTCTTGACGTTGAAGGTCAGAGGGGCCACTTTGAAGGAGGAGCTCTTGGTGCTGGGGCTTTTGGGGTGGTTTGGAGTGAAGCTTTTCTTCAGCTTCTCTCGTTGCTCAGGGGAAACAATCTTGGAGCCAATCTTGTTCATCTTCTTCTCGATAGTCTGCCGTGAGAAGGCCCTCTTCAGTGTATCCACCTTCTTCAGACTGGAACGCTTGATCTTCTCAGCACGGGACCAATCTGAACGCTCACTGGCCATATCCTGGTTGACCAAAGCATCCTCAGCATCTTCATCCTCATGGGGCACCATCTCATCGTCAGAGGACAGGCTGATGGTCTGCATCCCGTCTTCTTGGGTGCAGTTGGCATTCACTCCGGGTGCTTCCTCCTCCGCCGGGAGGGGCTGGCGCATGGAGTCTTTCACAAACACTTCTGTGGGGATCTCTCGTTCCTCCTGAAACACAGCAGATAGTCATTACCTCTAGAGCTGCCGCTAGTTACGAATACTAACTAGTTTTACTTATAGACAAAGAAAAGACAAAGCCTTTGCATTTCTATATTCAGCAATTCCCCCAATATCTGCCATAGTGGAGCCTAGTCTTTAACAGCACTTGAATGACACCCCAAGGCAGCTGACTGTCATTGACGCTGGTGTTGTGACCTTTTGAATGCTGGGGTGTTACTGACACAGAGAGCCTTACTTATAATAGAAGAATGTCCATTTGAACTGCACGCACACCCCAGGATAAAATGAAGGATGTGAGAAGCACTCCTGGGCTACACAAAACGTAACAGGAAACAGTAACGTTACTCATAGGGTTACATCATCATCCATTTATTTCTCTGGTAAAAGCCCTTAATTGCATAAGATTATTTCAACGGGAAAAAATAATTAAATCAGCTGGTTACTCAGGGTTACTTTTCTGGGCTGGTCTTTCTAGTCAAATTGTTAAACTTATTCAAGCAGTAATATTTGCTTATTAACTAATATTAATATAATATTATTATTAACTAATATTAACTTGGGTATGGCTAATAATGTGAAGACTTTCAGGCAACACTACTTATTCAGAGGTATTTCCTCAGGTAAATGCACATCACGGCACTTAGGCTGCTTGTTTTTACTCAGTAAATCATGCTACAGCAGCACAATCTTGCGATTTGTGTGTGTTTTTTTTGCCAAATAACAGGTGTGTAAATCAGTATTCAACTGTTGGGAATTCAGAAAATTTCTCTGCGCTGTGAGGGGGAGCAGCTCTGTAGCGTGTGACCGTTGTGGGGACAAAAGGTGCCCCGGTGAGCCTCAGGCCACGCCCACCACATGAGGCTTTGCCCCCTCCCACCCCACCCCCAGAACAAAAGAGCCTGAATCAGGCGGGGCTCAGGGAAAGTAAGGCTGGCTCCCTCTCTTTAACGGTCTGCCCAAGGCTGCAGCAGGCCTTGGCTTGATGGTCCAACAGGGGAGCACACGTTCCCAGAGTGTGCAAAGCAACCCAGGCTTAGTGGAGGATTGTGTAGCTGTGTATTCCACATTTCTTACAACCAAAGGGAAGGCTTGTGGGAGTTTTACATGCACAAAAATGCTCTGAGGGGCAGAAGGAACATTGATTGGTTCAGAGAGATAACCAATCAGATTGTAGTGAAGGTGGGTCCAAGCAACTACAGTAGCGAGACCAAGACATTTGATTGGTTGTTCCCGCCTCCTCTAGTTGTTTGGACCCACATCCTCTACAATCTGATTGGTTATCTCCTTGAACTAATCATTCTCCCTTCTGCCCTCAGAACATTTTTGTGTAAGTAAAACTCCCATGAGCAAAGGGAAGGCCATAGTTTCCACTGTACAGGGGCAGGGCCCCCACTCATGCAGAGGGGGCCATATTTATGGCAGTGAAGCTCCATTACTTGGAAGAATGCAGAACTGTCTCACGCCTTAACTGATTTATGTTCAGCCACACTTCGCGGTGCTGAACCCCAACGCTCCAGGAGAGCGGTCCAGGATATCGGTGCGTGAGGGAATGTTCTTTTGGATCGACCGCAGGGGATGGGGAGAACACCGGAGGCTGACCCGAGCAGGCGTGCGGACAGGTGGCAGGTCGTGATTTTTTGGTCTAATGGAACAAATGAGATTAGGGAGTGGGGCAGCTCCGCAGATGCGTGTTTATAGGCCGAGCCGGATCACGTGACAGCTGGATGAATCGGGACAGAGCTGGGCTGCCATCGAAAGTGGATTAGCTAGTGGGGCAGGAAGTCACCATACATGCCCTCACAGGGACTGAGACAAAAGTAACAATGAGAACGGCAACGGCGTTGAATTTCAATAGCAGCTCTCAGGCTTCCTGTCAGCAGATCCCTAGCGGTGGCAAGTCTTTGTTCCCTGCATTTAACTGCTCTTTGGATCAGTCATCACCCAGCCTAGACATCCTTATTAGAGCCTGGAGACAGGGGTTTATTTGGCAGGGAGTGCTTTCTCCAGAGCTTAAAGGTAACCAGTGACCCCCACCCCCCTGCTGCAGGGGAAATGGCATCATTCCAGCTTTTAGCGAATCAGGAGAAGCAGAGAAGCTGCATTCTGGCTTCCATTGGCCACATAAGCCGCAAAGGAGTCGTCTGCAGCTCCCTCTCTGAGCGCGACATCCAGGACTGTAGCTACCTTGTAATCCTTACAACTGATTGCTATCGGGCTGCTCTGATTCCTGCAGGACTTTCATTGTGTAGAATGGGGCGGCTTCCCAAGCTTTTGATGTCAGCGGATCGGTTTATGTCGTACAAAAACTCAGCTACCGACGGATTAATCAGCGATTTTGTTACTTCAGCTATCTACGTGTTTTCAGATGTGAACAGAACAAGCGGACGTGAGAGGCCATCAAAAATTTCTGCCACATAGTTTATTTTTGGAAACTGACCAACTCGTCTGCAAAGCCCCCAGTGTTCCCCGGCCCAGTGGAACCGGTACGGGGGATTGGGAAACCATACACCTGCTCAGTATATGGCTACTGCACACATAATGGGTGCAGCTACACCAGCAGTCAAAAATTTTGCACACCACAGGTTTTTATCACTTTTCCATTTATTTCATAAACTGCGGATTTTTAAATCTTGTTAAGCACTGGAAAGTTGAGTGAACAACATGATACCTGATTCTATGGTGATAGCATAGTCAAATTCTAGGCTGTCCTTTAATTTTAAATGCATTAGTTGACGGTTTCATCCCATGAAGTGAGTAACATGCAAAGGTAGAAAATCTCAGTGCGTGCAAAAACTTGACTGGTAGTGTATAATCACTGTGACGACTCGGTGAGAGGTATAGCCAATGTATACACCAGTACCAGGTCCAGAACAAAATTACTTTGTGCATGTGAAATTAGTGAGGGTGCATGATCCCTGTAACCACATTACAGTCATAGACTGATTGACTCCCACCTGAGGGGGCACATTATTAATTTCAGCAGGTTAGGCACCACTAGGCACCTTTGTAAACCTGGCTCTGATTCCACGTGGCCTTTGATGTGAGCCGGTATCCAGACCTGTCAGAGGTGTATGCTCTCAAGGAGAAAGTCCAGCTGTTGACCCCGTGACGCATCGCGTGCCACGGGAAGGGCTGGCTTTCACGGCGAGGCCCCGTAACTGTTACCGGCACCTCCTGGTACAGTAAACACTGGAGACGTTCAAATCAAACATATAGGACTGGGGGACGAATCTACGTGGGAAAATGTAAGCCTGCTCAGTTCTGCCAAGGCTGGGCAACGATAAACAAATGAAACGTACAAAGGCTTCTCCTTATACTCCCCATCGGAAAGGCCTCCACGCTCAGGGTTATTTATGAATCACAGCCTGCATACCTGGTGCTTGATTGTACATTTTACAGACATGCCTGTGTGGACCTTCGATGGTCAGTGGAGGTGCATTGAGGTGACCAACGGTGTCTCCTGGGTGTAATGACACGTATTAACGAGCTGATAGTTCCCCAGGATGCTGAACCTCTCTGTCGGTAATGCGCATTATATTCAGAGTCTGAATGGCCTTTAATCGTGGTGGGCGGAGCCTCAGCCTGACCCACAATGCACCACACCGGAGAGCTACTGTAATCCCAAAGATGGAGCCTCATTGGATTAGTGGGGTGGAAACTTCACAGGATATGGAGGGGGTGGGAGACAGTGGGAAGAGGGAAAGGAACAGTTAAAAAAAAGTATGGAGAAAAAAGGGTACAGAGGATCAGGAATTGCATCCCCAGAACGTTGGTCTGTCCATTTTCCCATTAATCTCTGTGTTGCTTGAGTTTTAAAAACTGATCCCTCACAATCCCTCTTTTCCTGGGCTGACAGGTGATTTTAACAGTCTGTACCTTCTGCTGTGGACCAGGTTACTTATTGATGTAATACGGTCTTGACTCATTTACATATAGCTAGTGATAGACAGAGCAGCAAAGAGCTACACTCATAACCAAGACTCATAACTTACACTCATAACCTGGACTCATAACAACAGTCCACAGGATTCAAACTGGTACCAGGACTGACTCTCTTTTCAGGCACAGACTAGTTAACTGATTTGTTAACTTAATTGGTTAATAGCAGTTTGACATTTCTTGGCAGTTTTCACAAGTCCTACTGAAATCCATTTTCTAAAAGAAAAAGTATGATGGTATACACGTCTCGTATTCATCTGTATTTATTGTGTGTAATTGCTATAATAGCATCCTTTGATGTCAAAAAGAGATTCAATTTTCGATAGAAATCTTATATAATTGCAAGACTTGCTCTGGGCTGGATGGCAGGTAACCCATGTGCCAGAATGATGGGTGTAAGGATTAATGGCTTTAAGTGGGACGAAAACGGATATGGGATAAAGGTGGATGGGAGGAGTGAAAACGAGAGGTGACCATTTTATCAGAATACACAATAAACAAAATGGGGGTTGGAGAGGGGGTACGAGGCCAGGTATTAGGGTCTGGATGCTTTCACAAACTGAGGGAAGATAGGAGTAAGTCTTGTACGAGATAAGATACACGTAAGATGTACGGATGAGCTCATCTCAGGAAAAGACTCCCAAGATCTTAAGAAAAAGATACAAAGTGCCATCGATGATTTGAACTGATATTTGGAAGACATTTTCTGTCTCATAACTTCAGTACACCTTGTGAAAATATCAGCCTCTAAACATTTTGTAGTTTATTCTCTTTGAACACGGGAACGATATGGAAGTACTGACCCCGAAAAGGCTACATGTAGGAGGATCATTCAGAGGATATCTATAGAGGGTTAGGGTGCTAATCGCTTGATCAGTCAGTACGACTGATATTGTGCTTCACACTAACATCTTACACAACAGGGACACCCAGTCCTGTTAGCATGAAATTCGGCATTCGGCCAGAAGTCATCATTTTCTGTAATTTTCCCAAAAGCCTTTCATGTAGGGCTGGTAAACAGTGATAAACGGTGATGTGACGCCGTTTCC